CTGAGATCCTGCAAGCGGTGTGGTGTGGCCAAATAAAATAAAATAAAATAAAATAAAATTGTCATTTTAATTATGATATGTCTTGGTGTGGGTCTCTTTGGGTTCATCTTTTTTGGGACCTTCTGTGCTTCCTGTACCTGAGATCTGTTTCCTTGTTTAGGTTTGGGAAGTTTTCAGCCATAATTTCTTCAATTACACTTTCAATTCTCTTTCTCTTTCCCTTCTGGAACACCTATTGGGCATCCGTTGGCACGTTTTGTATTATCTCATAAATCTCGTATGTTGATATCATTTTTTTTCGTTGTCTTTCTGTCTGCTCTTCTGATTTAGTGATTTCCATTTTGCTATCTTCCAGGTCACTTATTCATTCTTCTGTGGCATTTAGTCTGCTCTTCATTGCTTCTAGATTGGTTTTTAATCTCAGCAATTGAATTGTCTATTTTTGATTGGTTCATCTTTATAGCTTCTAGTTCCTCATTACAGTGATGTGCATTTCTATCGATACTCTTTCTTAAATCAGTTAGAATTTTTATTATCTCCTTTTTGAACTCAGGGTCTAGTAAACTAGTGAGCTCTTTTTTTTTTTTTAGAAGATGTTGGGGGTAGGAGTTTATTAATTAATTTATTTTTGCTGTGTTGGGTCTTCGTTTCTGTGCGAGGGCTTTCTCTAGTTGTGGCAAGCGGGGTCCACTCTTCATCACGATGCGCGGGCCTCTCACTATTGCGGCCTCTCTTGTTGCAGAGCACAGGCTCCAGACGCACAGGCTCAGTAGTTGTGGCTCACGGGCCTAGTTGCTCCGTGGCATGTGAGATCCTCCCAGACCAGGGCTCGAACCCGTGTCCCCTGCATTAGCAGGCAGATTCTCAACCACTGCCACCAGGGAAGCCCGTGAGCTCTGTTTTATTATCTGTTCTTTCAGGGGATTTCTCTTGTTCTTTTAATTGGGAGTAGTTCCTCTGCCTTTTTGTTTTACTTAACTTTCTCTGTCTCTATGAATTTAGGAGGAACAGTTATCTACGGTGGTCTTGAAGGGTGTTTTTATGTGGGAGTGTCCCTGCATAGATTGTGTGTGTCCAGTGTTTTTGGCACAGTGGCTGGTTTTGGTATGGACTTCAGTCGCATCTTTCCTCAGGGTATGCTGGACATTATCCCCTTGATGGGAGTGTGGCTGGTATTCTGGTGTCCAGAGCCTGTACTGGATGTGAGGCAGGGCTTTCTCTCTGCTCCGTGGCTGTCACTGCCCTGTCAGGGGCAGGGTCTGCTCCCCAGCTGTTGGGGTGGAAGGCTTGAGGGTTGGGTTCAGTCGGACTCCATTGGCCTTGAGTACATGCTGTGCCCCAAAGGAGGTGATTTCTGAAGCAAGTGACGCCCACATGGTCACAGAGCACCTGTGTGCTGCCTGTGTAGGCATCCATAGTTCCACTCAGAAGCAGCCCAGGGTTGTGTCCCTTTCTCTGTTTTGTCTCAGATCTAGTTAAAGGCTATGGTGTGGAGTAGGCTGGGGCTGAGGGTCGGGGTGTTGTGGCTGCAGGAATTGAGGTGGCTGCGCTGCTGCCTGAGGTCTGGGCTGCCTCTGTGGCAGACTCCCAGGACCTGTCTGCCCCATATCTAGTGCTAAGCTGCAGTGTGGTGTGGGCACACTGGGGTATTCTTGCTAGGAGACTAACCACTGCTACTCCTGAGCTTGCTGACAGTGGTTGTCACCATTCCATTCACACCATGCCCCAGGACCTCCCAGCTATCTCTGCGGTAGCTAGATTGAGTTCTCTCCTAGGGCCTATATGCCCAAGATTCAGCACTTAGCCACTGCAGGCTCCTGTGGCGCTACCTCACATGCATGCTGACAGTGGCCGCTGTGGCTCCACCCGGATCACAGCCCAGGTGCCCGGTCTGTCTCTATGCAGCTACACTGAGTCTCTGCCCAGATTTCATGCCCGGCTGTGGTGTGGAGTGAATGGGGCCAGGGTGTTCGCCCCTTTGGATTGGGAAGTGGGGCAAGGCGGCAGTTGCCAGTGCAAGGCTCTCTTTGCCCTGGTTCTCAGCAAGCCAGCATGTGGTCACTCCTCACGTGTAGAGCCTAGGCTTCTCCAGCCCTCTGTCTGTCCCAGTGGATTTCTCAGCAGACAAGGGGGCCTGTCTCCTCTACGCTGGACTCCAGGACTGGGATGCCCAGATTGTGGTTCGACCTGCTTACTCCCCAGGGAGTAGAAGTAATTTTGAACTCTTTTGGGGGAGAGGTGAGCTCCACATCTTCCTACTCCACCTTCTTGATCCCCCTCAGCCTTGGCATCCTTGAAATGAAAGTTGTAGAAGTGAATTATATAAAGTGGATCATTTGAAGGAAACTCTATGGACACAGTAAAAATAGAGAAGGAGAACCTAGGGGAGAGTCAAAAGAAGAAATATCTTCCATCTTTCTTCCAGAATGGGAGGGATGATCAGACAGACTGTGTGAGTTTTAGGGATCCAATAAATAGCACTCTTCCTTTTACACTTGAGTTTGGAACCCACGGAGAGGAAAAAAAAAAAAGATGTCCGGCGACATGGCTTTAGATCTTCAGTCAAACAGGCTTGCAAATACTTTATTCCTGAATTAGAACTTCCCGTCTAATCCAGACACAGCTGAAGAATTGCAGATCCCTCCACCCAACTCATGCAAGGCGTGTGGCAAAGAGCAGTCTGGAATGCATGCCCACCTCCTGCAGAAACACTGGCAGACAAAGACTGGAAGGGGGAGGGAGTGATATATGCCCCTGTTCATTCTTCCAAATTCACTAATTAAATAAATTCAATTTTCTTTTCACATGGAGTGATAAGTAAGGGGTAGGGAGAGAGTCCAAGGGTGTTTCTCTAGGGAAGGCCTTCTGCATTGGAAACATGAGGAATGAGGATTAAGAGTTCCCTTCAGCACACTAAAGAGAAGAGGCTTTAATTAGTGGGGCACTAGGGATAATTGGAGCTATTGTGCTGAACTAGGATAGGTGAGGTTTGCTATCTTCAAATAAGTCCTGATAACCCACATCAGTCATTAGCAGTATGTTTTATTTAGCCAGTATGGTTTGTTGTAAGAGTGAGTAGAGGATAGGCAGCATAATGTGGTGAGGAGCGTGCACTTGGGTGCCAGACTGCCTGGGGTTGAGTCCCTGATCTGACTCTTGCTGTGTGACTATGAAAATATTACTTAACCAGTCAGTGCCTCATTTCCTACTTTATAAAATGGGATAATAATGGTACCTAATTCATAGGGTTGTGAGGGTTAAATGAATTAATATATGGAAAGCATTTAGAACAGTGTCTAGCACATAGAAAGCACTATCTAGAGCATACATAATTAATGTTGATATTGCTATGTGAGAATGTTCTGTAAACTATAGATATATAAAGGCAATGCATTCTGCACAATATTAGAGACAGCCCGGAGATTGTCAGTTTTGACAGGAGCCCTAGGAAAAAAATGCAGTGTTGGCAAAATCATGTTCTGTCTTCTTTTCCTTCATTCTACTGCTCCTATTTTTAGGAGTCCAGCAACTCCATTGCTCAAAGTTCTATAGCCTATGCAGGTGTGCTATCTTAGAAGTCCTTCATTCTTTTTTTTTTTTTTTTTTTTTTTGCGGTATGCGGGCCTCTCACTGTTGTGGCCTCTCCCATTGCGGAGCACAGGCTCCGGACGCACAGGCCCAGCGGCCATGGCTCATGGGCCCAGCCGCTCTGCGGCATGTGGGATCCTCCCGGACGGGGGCACAAACGTGTGTCCCCTGCATTGGCAGGCGGACTCTCAACCACTGCGCCACCAGGGAAGCCCAGAAGTCCTTCATTCTTATGACAAGTATATTTTCTGTGACAAAAATTGGGACTCATGCTGAGAAACTGTGAAGTAGATAGGAATTGGTTTGTGAGTACTAAGGGTGTGAAACTGTAAACTTCATTTTCCTTGTAAGTGAAATGGGGATATTGCCTTGTACAATACAGCCACAATTGGTGGCTAAAATATGGGTAATGATACCTGAAAGATTTCCTATGAAAACTGGAGTCTGTGCTCCCAAGTTTGTCAGTTCTTTTTTAGTTTTCCCATCCCCCAGATAAAAACTGAAATTCAGTGTGTATTGTGTATATAGGAGATGTTCCATAAATGTTGAATGAATTGAAGCTGTCTTAGCTCCCTGTTAACTGATTAAAGCATTTGTTATATGATATATATACTTAAGTAGTTATAACAGAAGAACACTCGTGTGCCCTGTGGAGGTTTTAAAATGTGTTCATGTGTTTTCATTTAGTACCTCTGCAATTATCCCTCTGCCTGGAATGCTCTCTTCTTCCGGATCTTTACATGGCTAACTCCTTGTCATTTGGGACTTAGATTAAATGTCATCTTATCAGTATCGTCACTAGTGAGTTCTACCAAATATTTAAGTAAGAAATAACACCAATTTAACACAAACTCTTCCAGAGTTTAAATCCTGATACCAACATTGACAAAGATATTATGAAAAAAATTATAGACAAATATCCTTCATGAACATAAACATAGAACAAAAATCTATGTTTATTAAAGCATTTGTAATATGATATATATATATATATATAGTTAAGTAGTTATAACAAAAGGAGACTCATGTGCCCTGTATAATAAAATATTAGCAAATTGAATCCAACAATATCCAACATAAAGAGGATAAGACATTATAAATTAGATCCTCTTTAATGTTTTTCAAGGGATATAAATTAAAGATTGGAATTCCTTTATTACTACTTCAGCTATTCAGATAACGCTCCTTTGACTGTGATTCCGTGTGGAGCCTGAGTCACAGGGGTCCAGGATTCATAAAGATTACAAATATTTCATCATGTCATTGTAATTTGAGTCTTTATCAAGAATTAGGTATGTTTTAGATATGAAAGTAAAAGTATTTTATAGCATTGTCCAAAGTGTATTTTGATTCCAAAATTTTCATTTTCAGCTTTGGAGTTTTCAGTAACAGACATTTTCCTTGTCTTGTAGTTCAAGATATTTTGGAAACTATGTTAATAGACAGCTATATCTTCCCAAGCACCATAATAGTAAGTGTATAACTTTTACATAATTACTTGTCTTGTGGTTGTTAATTAGAAACTACTAAAAAGCCTTCAGATTTAAATAACTAGTTTGTTTAATGCTGAGACTTCTTCAGAACACGTCCTTAACTCTCATACTTCTAAGGCTTCTAATATAGATCCTACTCCTTTCATTTTGATGAATCTGCCCAAAATTGTCCTTTTTGAAAGGTTTATTTTTTATTGGATTTTTTTTCTAGTTTGCAGTCCTTTTCTTTTTTTTTTTTATGTATGTATGTATGTATTTATTTATTTTTGGCTGCGTTGGGTCTTTGTTGCTGTGCACGGGCACTGTAGTTGCAGCAAGCGGGGGCTACTCTTTGTTGCGGTGCGTGGGCTTCTCATTGCGGTGGCTTCTCTTGTTGTGGAGCACGGGCTCTAGGAGTGCGTGCTTTAGTAGTTGTGCACGGGCTTAGTTGCTCCGCGGCATGTGGGATCTTCCCAGACCAAGGTTCAACCTGTGTCCCCTGCATTGGCAGGTGGATTCTTAACCACTGTGCTACCAGGGAAGTCCCTTTGCAGTCCTCTTCTATCTCCCAATTCAACCAGACTATGTAAAAATAGTCATATTTTTATGACTGCTCTCTTATGAAAAACAATGGAATGGAAAATATTGCTATTAGATATTGTTTGTATGCTTTTCTGTATGTGTGTTTCCCCTTGGTAGCCAGATCATTTGAACAGTCTTATCATTGTGATGCTGTATGATTTCCAAGATAGAAAATTTCAAGCTCGTCTCATTTCTGATAATGAAGAGTCTGTAGCGGAAGTTCTAGAAGTAGAGAACCTTCTTAACAGGTAATTGTAAAGGTGAAAACAGTGTTTTATATGAAATCATTATTGGTATTTTCACTGGTGAAATTGTATACAATATAATGTGTAGATAACTGTTAAAATTTTATAGAGAAAAAATATAAAAGTTCATAAGTTTCTTGAGTTCCTTTACAAACAAATCTTGAACAGGGTAAATATTCTGCTTAAATTCAAGTTGTTTTTCAAAGCTTGAATTGTAAGATCCAACTTGTAAGTATTTGGAAAATGATGAAAAATTCCTGACAATTTTTAGCACGTACTTAAGTTACACTTCATTTGAAACTGCTATTATTTGTTTACCTGGCTTTGTTTATAGCTCTTTAAAAAAAATCTAACATGCATCAAACAAGAAAATTCCAACAGTAGATAAGAACCTATCACTCTTCCAAGTTGAAAAAAAAAATCTACAACTTCATGTTAGTAGTTAAGAACAAAACTAACATGTTTTAAATTTGTTTTCCTTTTATCCTAAATATCAACAGAAACCTAGTATGGGGATAATAATAGCATCTACCTAAAAAGGTGGTTGGAAGAAGTAAATAAACTATATAAAATGCTGAGCTTAGAGTCAGGCACTTAGTAGATAGTCAATCAGTGTTAAATGCTACTGTTGTTAGGGCTTTTGTTATTACATCGTTGAACCTTAATAGAAAGCACAATATAGCAACAACAGCAATCTTGTAGGAAGATTTTTACCAGGTGAATAATCTGCAACAGTTGTCATATGTCATGTTATATTATTATGGGAAACTCAAGCAGTTTCACTTACAGTATTGAAGGTTGAGACCAGAGGACTCACATAATGGAGTTATAGTAATAACTTACCTTTATTGAACACTTAATATGTATAAATCATTGTTATAAGAAGCTCTTTACATAACAACTCTTTGAGGTAGATATTGTTACCAACCTGTATTTTTACACATGGGAAAACTGAGGCACAGACATGTTAAAGGACCCTGCCTAATGCCATAGAGCTAGAAAGGGGAGTAGCCAGAATACACATTCAGGAATGCTGACTCTAGAGCCCAGGATTTAAGCATTTATATGCTACTACTCCTTCCACTTAAGATAGTGAGTGGTGGCTAAAGTACTCTAGAAGATGAAAGATATGACATAGTCACATCTCATGTCATTTGTAGCCATGAGAAATTTGGAGATGGAGAAAAGCAAAAGCAATCAGATGTATGTACCCTCTGTGTTAGGTAAGTAAGGATCTTGTCCCTGATTACTGCACAGGTTTCTGGACAACTACTTCACCCATACCAGTACCGGGCAACCTGCCTCTGAGGATGGGCACCCACGATGGGCGCAGATACATCAGAGAAAAGTTGGTGGGGCAGTATGCTCTGGGACAGGCTCTGAGTTTCAGCTTTCCTGAGCTGCTGTCAGTTTCTGTTTGAGTTGGTCAGGACTCAGGAGATGTTCATGGAAGTCTCAACTTAGTCTCAGTGAGCATAATGAGAGCTGAGGTTAGGAAAGCCACAGGGCTCCAACCAAGTAAGAAAGACCAGACTGTGGTTTCATGAGCAGCAGATTTTTAGCTGAGAATGTTAGCAAGCCAGGCAGGAAATAGGACAAGCAAAGGTCATGGCTCAGGAGGCCAGAGGAACCAGAAGATATTACTGTCTTAGGTTCCTGATTCTCCAGAGTTTTCTCTTTCCCCATAATGCATACCATGCTACCTCCTGCCTTGACACACATCTGGTTGCATTCTTGTCAGGGCGAGAAGCTGTCAGTGCAGTTTTTCCCCCTACCCAAACCAATAGAGCTTCATATAATGCAGATCTTATTCCCACATTAATAAGTTATTTCATACCCAATTCATGCTATACTCAATTCATAATATGCTATAGGAGAAATGCGTGTATTTAGTGATTGAATTGCAGAGAACAGTAGTGCAGTATACTTATATAAAGATAACACTGAAAAAAATCCATGTATAATGATAAAAATCATGCTGAGAAAATACATGTATAAAGATAACACTAAAGGGTTTTAATCAAGAGTCTCAGCTTTCAAGTAATAGAAGCCATCTTCAGTTAGGCTGAGCAAAATGGAAAATGTTCTTATAAAGGTATTGGAATGTCTCATGCAACTCAGAGAATCAGGAAGAGGATGAAAGCAGGAGCTGGAAAGATGTTAGGACCTTTATCTCTGCTGCTTTGTCTCTTTATCTTTTTAACTCTGCTTCTCTCAATATCTGCTTCATTCTTTTCCTCTGCAGATCTGCCTTCTCTGCTTCTCTAGTCTACATGGAGAAAACCCTACTATTGCACTTCACGTCTTGAGCTTACTTGTTACAGTTGTATGTTAGTTTCTTCACTTAGACTAACTTATTGTCTCTAACCCCAATTCTAAATTATAATCCCTCCCCTGGGAATTTGATTGGCTCCATGTAGGTCAGGTGCATTCCCCTGGGCCAATCCCCCATAGCCAGTGGAGCAGAATTCTGAACTGAGACAGAATGGTAGCGGCCAACATCTGTAGATCATCTGTGGCTTGGGGCTGGGCACTGTTGTCCCCAGGGAAATAGAATCATTGTAAGCTTGAAGTATACTTTAGTTATGCTTCTACCAAGAAGATTAAGACTAATTTTAAGAGGTGATAGAAGTAATTATTTAGCAAGAAATTGAATGAGAATTATTTCCTCCTTATGAAAATTGTTTGATCTTTGTTGTTATTGTCTCTTCCAGAGATCCTTGTGTTTTATCACTCTACCAACTTGTATCTTTTTTTAAATTTTTTCTTTTATTTATTTTTTTATACAGTAGGTTCTTATTAGTCCAACTTGTATCTTTTTCTTCATTTGTTCATAGCCTTAGAGATATAATCCAAGATGACACCTATTATCATTTTTGACATATGCAAGTTCTTTAAGAACTCATTCCTTGTACAAAATGCAACTATATTTTAAATACTATGTGACTGGGTTAAATAAAAGGAGACCACAGGTTCTTCCTTTCTTACTCCCCCCCGCCTTACACTAGCCCAAGAATCTGATTCTGCCAAATAATTTGTTGGGCTTTGGAGAGGCAGAATTGGGGAATGGGCAGTGAAAGAGTAGAGAGGCAGGAGAAGAAAGACTTAGTGGTCCATCCTCCCAAACCACCCAAAACTGTCCTGAAACCTTCCCCATTACAATTAAGGCACCACCAGCTTCTTAGATATCATCCTTGATTCCTCTTTCCTCCCCTCCCCGGTGCCCATACCACACCTAATACATCAAGTTCTGTAACTCCAATTGGAAAACATGCTGAATGTGTCTACTTGTTTCCATTTCCACTCCTGCTGTTCAAATCCAAGCCACTATAATGGGTCACTTGGACTACTGCAATAGTAGTCCTCCTTCCCTGTCTGTAACTCTTACTTTTTCACAATCTGTTCCACATGGCAGGTAAAGTGATATTTTAAAAAAGTGATTATATAGTCATGACAGAGTATCTAGGATCAAGCTATATTCCTCCTGTAAACAACTAGATGGACAAAATATATGAGGCAAATATTTTGGACATTAGACAAAAAGCAGCACAGAATTTTGATCCTTGAGAGAATGAAGACAAATGAGGTGAGTCCTAGAATAGTCCTGGCTATATACCTACAGGTACTTTCCAACTGCAGTGCAGGAAGGAGGATCTCAAGAGGAAAACTGTAGTCTTACTAAAGTAAGAAAACAGAGATCAGAGTTTTGGGATGAGCATCTGAAATGATCATTTTTTTCTCCTTTTTTTTGGGGGGGGTGGTACGCGGGCCTCTCACCGCTGTGGCCTCTCCTGTTGCGGAGCACAGGCTCTGGACGCGCAGGCCCAGCGGCCATGGCCCATGGGCCCAGCTGCTCCGTGGCACGCGGGATCCTCCTGTACTGGGGCACGAACCCACGTCCCCTGCATCGGCAGGTGGACTCTAAACCACTGCGCCACCAGGGAAGCCCTTTTTCTCCTTTATTCTATTAATGTGGTAAGGTAATTCACATTGAATGATTTATGAATGTTAAAACCATCCATGGATTTTTGGGATAAATCACTTTTGCTTGGATATATCCCTTTTCTTCTATTCCTCAGTTTTCTCATTCACATAATGCTCCAGGGTTTCTCATTTGCTGAAATGCTTCCTAAACACTTGTTCATGGGTTTTTGTCTCTCATATTCTCTCCACCCCTTCTTTGGAAACTCTTAGCCCATTTCACTTACTTAGTGAATATTCTGAAACAGTTGTCAGTATGATGTCTGATTTTATATTTGTATGGGAAATTCAAACAGTTCACTGAAGATTATCCTTTGGCATTAAGAAAATATTCAATTTATATTTAAAGAGAACCATATTTCTTTTGTGTTAGGCATTACTAATGGCACTCCAAAACTTGAGATATTTTGGGAATTCCTTGGCAGTCCAGTGGTTAGGACTTGGCACTTTCACTGCGGAGGGCCTGGGTTTAGTCCCTGGTCAGGGAACTAAGATTCCACAAGCCATGTGGTGTGGCCAAAACAAAACAAAACAAAAACAAAAAGCAAAACAAACTAACAACAACAAAAAAAACTTGAAATATTTTGTTCATTGTTAGATAAAATTTCTGAAAATTTGAAGCCAAAACGGAGTAAAACCTTTTTTGTATTAGGTAGGATTCTTTTTTGACAACACACAGGACTCCAACTCAAACTAGATTAGACAAAAGAGAAATTTTACTATAAGGTATCACACGGAAGAATTGAACAATGAGACTTGCAGGAAAGACATTGATGTGGCTACGCTTCTACTAACTAAATCCTGTGGCTCAAGTATCATCGGGGCTCTCTTCGACTCTAGTCTCTGCCTCTTTGTGTGCTTTACCTTCATTCTTGGATCTTTTCTTCTGTTCATAGAATGGGAAACTTGGCTGCTGACTACTCAGGAGCTTTACATCGTACACAGCACGAAAAGTAGAAAGACTGGCTTGACTCTCGGTTGCTACACACAAAAATTCACTTGACTCTGGTTTGGGTCAAGTGCTCATCCTCTCCCAATCAACTGTGGTCAAGGAGACAGAGTCAGTTAGGAACACCTCCCAAGAAAATTATATGAACGGATGGAGGACAGGAACATTTTTCGTAAGAGGGGAAGTTTCTATTCCCAGAAGGGAAGTGGTGCTTAGAATAGAAACCTGTAGGTTTCTGCTCTAAATGGAAACATTGCTCTGTAAATATGCTTTGCTGTTTAACACCTCCATTTTTTACGGTACTCTGCCCTCTGTCTGTATGTCTTTTCTCTTCTTGTGGTCTGGAAAATTCTTGCTCCTCCTTTAATAGTTCAGGTTTCTCCTCTTGGAAGTCCCTTTAGGCTGATTTTGTTCTTCTTCCAATACATTTACTCTCTTCTTTATCTATGTATCTTATAACATTAACCATGTTGAGCTATAATTATTTGTTTATATGTCTGTTTTACCACCTAATTGTAAATTACTTAAGGGTAGAAACTATCTTTTAATCTTTATAGCTCAGGTCTGATAACAGTACTTGATTAATACTAGTAATAAAAAAATGAGCATATTGGACTTTCCTGGTGGTCCAGTGGTAAAGAATCCACCTTCCACTGCAGGGGACACGGGTTCGATCCCTGGTCGGGGAACTAAGATCCCACATGCCGCGGGGCAACTAAGCCCGCGTGCCACAACTAAAGAGCGCACACGCTCTGGAGCTCACACGCCACAACTAGAGAAGAGAAAACCCGCACGCCACAACTAGAGAGAAGCCGTGCCTCAACGAAAGATCCCGCATACCTTAATGCAGATCCCGTGTGCCTCAACTAAGACATGACACAGCCAAAAAAAAAAAAAAAAAAGAATAAGCATATTAATCATTATCATTTCTTGAATAACTTAACTTTAAATACATTCAAAATTATCTTTGCAACCATTCTATAAGTTAGATACTACTTCTTAATTCCTAGAGCTTAGAGAAGCTAAGTAACTTGTCTAAAGTCACATAGCTAGTAATTAGTGGAACCAGAATCTGAACCCAGGTAATCTGATTGCAGAGTCCAAACCATACTGGCTGGAGAGACAGAGGAACAGCAAAGTAGAGAAAGAGGGGAATGGATGTGGCATGTAAGCAAGAGTGGTAAATAGCTCAGTGTGTGACTAGAGGTAGATTTATGGATGTGAGTGGTGAGAATTGAGAAAGGAAGAGTTGGTTCAGGTTAAATTATTAATATCCTTGTGTGTCATGATAAAGAGTTTGGATTCTGGCCTGTAGCTAATGGGTTCATTTAAGATTTAAGCTTAGGAATTATATAACTACAATTTAACATACAGAAACAAAGCTCTGGCTACATGTATAACAGGGATGCTGATAAAAAGATAATTAAGCAACTCTCTGCCATAACACAAATTGTAGCAGGAGATGGAGTTCTGGATCAAGAATGTTGGGAAAGGCTGTTTTTGCTTCCGTTTTCATCACTGCAGTCTACCTTAAAGCTATGGAAGTATTTTTAGCAATCACAGGTTATTTTATTTATGGAAGTGATATATCTGGTTATCCTAATAGCATTTGGATTTGGTCTTTGTCCTCAATCTGATACTGTATGTTTATATAAGAATCTTTATAACTGTACATATACTTCAAGTTACTTTTTATATGATTAAATTATATTAAAATTCACAGTCCAAAATGTTTGCTATCTGGGTTTTGGAAAATCTTTTCTCCCTATACTCCCTGTATATACACAACACATACATTTTTCTAGGCTTCACATCTCTGATCTTTATATTTAATGATTGAATAATTGTCAGTAGCATTTATTACGGTAAATTCGAACTATGTAGGTATTTGGAAGGACTGTTTAGTCAAAAATAGTCTGTTCTCAGAAACATCTCAGTGTATAATATAGAACAGTAACTCATCCCCTTTATATTAATTTATTCTTTGATGTGCATTAATATATAATTATTTTTAATGTCCCTTGCTGTAGTTCTATGACATTAGGACATAGCACTACACAAATCTAATTCTTTTTTAAAATTTAATTTAATTCATTTATTTGGTTGCACTGGGTCTTAGTTGCAGCACACAGACTCCTTAGTTGTGGCATGCGAACTCTTAATTGTGGCATGCGTGTAGGATCTAGTTCCCTGACCAGACATCGAACCTGGGCCCCCTGCATGGGCAGCACGGAGTCTTATCCACTGTGCCACCAGGGAAGTTCCCACAAATCTAATTCTATGATAGTCCCAGAAGGCTTAATGTTTGATAACCCTCCCCTCTACCCCCACCCAAAGTGCCCCTGTGTTCTCATCCTCCCTCCCTCCCTCTCCCCCTCCCCCCCACCCCCTGCTCTCGCTCTCTGTCTCTATCTTATTAAGCTTTCTGCAGCCACATACACCATTCTCAAGGAACTTGACTTTTTGTGGCATCCCTTCCTCATTTCTCATTCAAGGTTATCCTTGAGGTTTATTATTCAATTAGATTCCTATTGTGAAAATGCTATGAATATAGGTCAAGAGTAAGTCCTGTATTCTCATTTATTAAAAATTTGGGCTATGACATTAAAAAAAAATCATTGGGTCTTCATGGTTATGCTAAACAGTTCTTGTTTTTCTTTTCTGTTATTTGGAATTTTGAGGTATGGGATAGTCAGAACTGGGAAGGACTTGATACATATTCATGAAAGTTCCTTAATCTTATCAAGAGTACACTGTTGCCATCTCTGATAATAATAACTGACCTATAATGAGGGCCTGCCACGTGCTAGGCACTGTGCTAAGTATTTTACACACATGACATTAATCACCACATTAATTGCAAGGTGAGCTGATCACATTTTACAGATGAGAAAACTGAGGCTGATGAGAGATTCAGTATCACACCTGAGGTCACACAGCTAGTAAGTGACAAAGCCTGAATTTTTTTTTTTTTTTTTACAGTACGCGGGCCTCTCACTGTTGTGGCCTCTCCCGTTGAGGAGCACAGGCTCCGGACGCGCAGGCTCAGCGGCCATGGCTCACGGGCCCAGCCGCTCCGCGGCATGTGGGATCTTCCCGGACTGGGGCACGAACCCGTGTCCCCTGCATCGGCAGGCGGACTCTCAACCACTGCGCCACCAGGGAAGCCCCAGAGCCTGAATTGAACTTCGTTTGTCTGACTCTAAATCCTACACCTTTTTCACTACATAAAATTTGTCTCTCAGCCAGCAATTGTTTTAAATATTTGAGGAGGACTTCCCTGGTGGCGCAGTGGTTAAGAATCTGCCTGCCAATGCAGGGGACACGGGTTCGAGCCCTGATCTGGGAAGATTCCACATGCCGCGGAGCAACTAAGCCCGTGTGCCACGACTACTGAGCCTGTGCTCTAGAGCCCACGATCTACAACTACTGAGCCCGTGTGCCACAACTACTGAAGCCCGCGTGCCTAGAGCCCGTGCTCCGCAACAAGAGAAGCCATGACAATGAGAAGCCCGCACACCACAATGAAGAGTAGCCCCCGCTCACCACAACTAAAGACAGCCCGCGTGCAGCAACGAAGACCCAGTGCAACCATAAATAAATAAATTTTTAAAAAGAAAATATTTGAGGAGATACACAGCTATACAGAGACATCAAAAACTGAAGAAAAGAAGCAGGATTATTGGATTTCCATTTTTAAATATGGCAAATTTTAATTTTAGACTTCAAAAATTTGAAATAGAATTATAGAAATATTTGTTAAAATTCTAATTGTTAATGTTTCTAGTGGAAAATTGATAGTCTTGTCTTCAATGCAGTACTTACCAAGAATGAATTTTCTGTTTCTAGTTTTAAGACAAAATTGGCTGCGGCATTGGCAAGATGTCGAATCAAACATGATGCCCTTTCAATTTACCACATTCTTCCAGAAAGAGTTAGGAACCAGGAACTAAGGGCCTCAACTTTGCCACTTTATGCTTGGATAAATACGTGTAAAATCAGGTAAGATTTCTAATCAAATTCTTTATTTAAGTCACTTGCCTTTCAAAATAATGTGATAAGAAGTATTACCTTTTTAATGGATGGGGGGCTCATCTGGGGGAGTGATTGGGGAATCATAGTTTAGTTCAGGATTTTATCACCAGATTACCAAAAGTAATTACATAGATGTGTTAACTTTTTTGTCTCTGTTTTTCAACTTATTGTTGGCTAAAATTATAAGTTCCATTAGATGCAATATTTGCAGTGATATTTTTATTTATTGTAGGAAAAAGATCCTAGTGTTAAATACACTTTTGATGTGTTATATTTGTAATTAAAACCTAATGTTATATATTTACAGCCCTGAAGAAGTTTATCATAGTTTGAAGAAAAAAGGCTATAATAAAGTCAAATCTGTGTTGCATGTTCATAATAAAGTCTTTGCTGTGGATCAACATTGCTATGATGTCTTAATTTTTCCATCTCATCTTAAAAGTGATCTTCTAAATATAGATCTTTTCAAAGATTATAAACTTGTATTTCAGGTAAACTAACACTTACTTTCATTGTGATTCTCAGTAATCCTGTTCACCCAGAGAATTCCTCCACTTAAAAATAAAACCTAACAAATTGGTTACGTTTTGTATAGGTTATCAAGGAAGTTTATAAGGCCTAATTTTCACCTTGAATAAAATTAATTCCCCTACAGCCAGTTTTCATTTTATACTTTGACATCTTTGCCCCATGTGAAGTGGGCATATTGTAAAGAACATATTCTTCCTACACACCATAGATGGGGGAACTCTTATTGCCTACAGCTAAAAGGCTATATTTTTCTCTCCCAAGGGAGGATTCAAGAGAAGGCACAATGATTCCTTTTCTTCTTTCCATTTTTGGGGAAGATGCTAGTGCCATCCTGCATTTGAAAACGCAATGTGTAATACTTTCCCATTATCTCTTTACTACATTCCTACAGCTTTGATTTGTAAGATGTGTATGTATAAACGGCTATCAATGCAGGAAGAGAATGTGAGGTATAATGTGGTTTCAATAGAATGAGAAATTAAAAGAAATCAGGTTAAATTAATTTTTATGTGCTTAGATTTCAATTCTTGCCTCAGATTCACCTTAGTTTTGTAAGGTTTATCCCTTCATAGTACCTGCATTCTTGGGCAGAGTCTCTTGGCCTTATTTTGTTGTGACACCTTGTTGAGCACTGAGATCAGTTGCAGAAACTCATCTGTCCAGCCCCCTTTTATAAGCTTGTCAACCATCTTACTTTTAATCTCTGTGAGCTAGCAGCCATTTAGATGACAGTGTAATGGGGAAGAAAGAATGGCAGTAGCAAATGGGTGCATTTTCATGAAGGCTTAAGAATGGGAGCTAAGGCAGGACATCAGTAGTCTATTAATCACATTTTGGGGATTTTGGCATTGCCTTATCACTGTATAAAAGTTAAATGATCACAGTCATAATTTAGGCTAAACAAAGTTAGGGTATTGTTTTAAATCAGTTTATATCAGTTATCTTTGTTAAGTTTATATTTTAACATATGTTAAGATGTTTTAAACTCGAATGCGTTAGGTATCTCTTCAGAATTTCTGCCAATACTTTGTTTTTACCTGAGGCAAAAAGAAGTCAGTACATGCTTCTGGTCAAACCCTTCGAAATTCTAATTGTACCATTATCTTGTAGGACAAATCTCGAAGTCTCGCTGTCCATTCTGTGAAGGCTTTATTAAATATGGATGATGATATCTTAATGGTCAATACAGGTTCGTGGTACACAGTTGCCCATATGTCAGTCTTAACAAATAATAATGCCTCAAAAATATTTGTGTGTGGAGTACAATCACAAGCTAAGGATCCTGACCTGAAGAACCTTTTCACAAAAATGGGATGTAAAAGTATGTACAAATATTTATTTGTTTGGTGGTAATGTTCTGTAAGATTTAGAAATGTTAAAAATATTTGAATTTGTTATCTCTCGTAATATAAAACTCTATATATGAACTATACTCCTAAAATCCCCACTAATCTGTATTATATCAGGCTGTTCTTGTTACTTAATATTGGTTAAACAACTGCAGTTTAAATTAATGAATATATTGGCACTTTGGTATATTGCTTGACATTTACTGCATAATTTGAGTTTCAAACAATAATTAAAGTAACTGGTAGAAATTGTCATCTTCTAATAAATAAGAACACAATCACAGGAGTTCTTAAGGGACAAAGATAATATCTAGGACCAGATGCTAAGTCCTTAGGCTTCTTATTTTTAAAGAATTTTTCCACTGGATCATGCTGTGACAAAAGATAACATTTCATTATAGGTTCAGTGAAGCTGAAAAACTAAACGAATCTTTTGACAGATTCACAGGGTGAGCGAAAAGATAAGTAGAATCCAGGGCTTGACATGGAGAGGTAGACTGGTAAATACCCAGCATTTCATTGGAGCACAGAAGTATACCCTGGGTAGTGATCAGTCCTCTGATGAATTGAAGCCCAAATTCCAGTCATCTCAATTCCCGGTTGGATTAAGGTGATCTGGGATTGCCAGAGGCAAAAGTAAATTCTCTCTGGAAGAAAGTAACATCATCCTGGATCTCATATTATCTCCTAATTTTTTTCAAATTCTGTGTCTGGCACTCAAGAAAAAGAAAAATCAGACAAAATAGAAGAAAGATGTGAGTGAAATAAAGAGAAAAATACTGCAATAGAAGCAAACCCACAAAAGGGCCAGGTACTGGAGGTATCAGATGTGGACTTTAACTATGATTAATATGCTGAAGAGACTAAATGACAAACTGCAGAATTTCAGCAGAGAACTGGAAACTATAATTTTTAAAAAACTCAGAAGAAAATTCTAGAATTGAAAAATACAATATGTGAAATTAAGAAATAAACAGATTTAACAGTAGGTTAAAACTAAAAGAAGGAACAAGTGAACTGATCAGTCAGAAGAAACTATCCAGACTGAAGCATCAGGAGACAAAAGGATGACTAATATGGAAGAGACCACAAAATACACATGAGATTCAGTGATCCAGTGATGTCAGGTATGTTGTGATTGGGAACCCAGAAAGAGAGGAGAAAAGGAACTGGGAAAAAACAATATGTGAAATTGGGACTGGGAGTTTTTAAAAATTGATTAAAGTCACAGATTCAAGAAGTGCTATGAACTCCAATAAAAATAAATGTGTATAAATCACAGCAAGATTCTTTTTGACCCACCTCCTAGAGAAATGGAAATAAAAACAAAAATAAACAAATGGGACCTAATGAAACTTAAAAGCTTTTGCACAGCAAAGGAAACCATAAACAAGACCAAAAGACAACCCTCAGAATGGGAGAAAATATTTGCAAATGAAGCAACTGACAAAGGATTAATTTCCAAAATTTACAAGCAGCTCATGCAGCTCAATAACAAAAAAACAAACAACCCAATCCAAAAATGGGCAGAAGACCTAAATAGACATTTCTCCAAAGAAGATATACGGACTGCCAACAAACACATGAAAGAATGCTCAACATCACTAATCATTAGAGAAATGCAAATCAAAACTACAATGAGATATCATCTCACACCAGTCAGAATGGCCATCATCAAAAAATCTAGAAACAATAAATGCTGGAGAGGGTGTGGAGAAAAGGGAACACTCTTGCACTGCTGGTGGGAATGTGAATTGGTTCAGCCACTATGGAGAACAGTATGGAGGTTCCTTAAAAAACTAAAAATAGAACTACCATATGACCCAGCAATCCCACTACTGGGCATATACCTTGAGAAAACCAAAATTCAAAAAGAGTCATGTACCAAAATGTTCATTGCAGCTCTGTTTACAATAGCCCGGAGATGGAAACAAGTGCCCATCATCGGATGAATGGATAAAGAAGATGTGGCACATATATACAATGGAATGTTACTCAGCCATAAAAAGAAACGAAATTGAGCTATTTGTAATGAGGTGGATAGACCTAGAGTCTGTCATACAGAGTGAAGTAAGTCAGAAAGAGAAAGACAAATACCGTATGCTAACACATATATATGGAATTTAAGAAAAAAAATGTCATGAAGAACCTAGGACTAAGACAGGAATAAAGACACAGACCTACTGGAGAACAGACTTGAGGATATGGGGAGGGGGAAGGGTGAGCTGTGACAAAGCGAGAGAGAGGCATGGACATATATACACTAACAAATGTAAGGTAGATAGCTAGTGGGAAGCAGCTGCATAGCACAGGGAGATCAGCTCCGTGCTTTGTGACCACCTAGAGGGGTGGGATAGGGAGGGTGGGAGGGAGGGAGACGCAAGAGGGAAGAGAGATGGGAACATATGTATATGTATAACTGATTCACTTTGTTATAAAGCAGAAACTAACACACCATTGTAAAGCAATTATACCCCAATAAAGATGTTAAAAAATAAAAAATAAATGTGTAAAAAACATAGTAGGCACATCATAGCATAATTGCTGAAAACGAAAGACAAAGAACAATGTTCAAAGCAGCCAGGGAAATAATACATATTACCTTCGATGAGATAGCAATAAAACTAAAAATTAACTTTTCAACAGAAACAACTGAGGCCAGAGACAAACAATATCTTCATAGTGCAGAAAGAAAATGTCAGGCTAGATTTCTATACACAGCAAAAATTTCCTTTGAAATAAAGATACTCTCAGAGAGTGAATTTGTTACCAGCAGATACAATAAAGGGTTTACTAAAGATTATTGTTTGAGTAGAAGGAATATTGTCTCATACAGAAGGTTGTAGATGCTGGAAGAAATGAAGAGCAATGGAAAAGGTTAGTACATAGGTAAATCTAAATAATTGTAGTCTAGTGTCTTGTGGGACTGTAAACTAATGTCTTGTGGAGCTAACAATATTTGTGTTATATGTAATTAAAATACATTACAACAATTGCACATAGTTTAGAGAAGGAAATGGAATTAATGTGTTCTGTCATCCTTGCTTTGTCTAAGAAATGATAAAAGTAGTAAATTATTAAGTCAGTGGTATGTGTTATAATATCAGGGGCAAACAATAAACAAATAATAAAAGAATGTAAAACTAATAGCTAAGGGGGAGGGGTGGAATATGGAATTGGAATCACCATAGTAATGTATAAAAGGCAAGACAAATAGAAAGGAAGTAGGTAGATTAAACTTTACAAAAAATATGTATTTATAAATCAATAAGTAAACATTAAATATGCATGAGTAATACTTGAATTACAAGACAAAGAACATCAATACTGGATTTTTAAAGATCAACTTTAAAATGCTATTTATAAGAGATACCCCTTACATAAAAGGATATTCAAAAAAAAAAACTTAGAAGGACAGAAAAAGATATTCAGTGAACATACTAACAAAAGGAGCTACAGACAAAGTAGTGTTATGTCAAGAAAACTTACTAGAAATATAGCATGTTTAAGTCATCAGGAAAATATACCAGTACTAAGAAGTATGTACATAATAACGTAGTCTCAAAATATATAAAGCCACATTATCTAGAATCAGCAGGTAAAATGCTCTGTGTATAGAAAATTCTAAAGAATCCATGAAAAAATACAGATTTAATGCAATCCCTATAAAAACCCTAGCTGGCTTTTTTGCAGAAATTGACATTCTGTCCTAAAATTCACATGGAAATCCGAGGGACCTGAAGTAGCCAAAGCAGTCTTGAAAAAGAACGAAGTTATAGGACTCACACTTCCTGATTTCAAAATTCACTACACAGCTTTAGTTATCAAGACAATGCGGGACTGGCATAAAGATAAACATGTAGATCAGTGGATAGAATTGAGAATCCAGAAGTAAAATCTTACATTTACGGTCAATTGATTTTTGACAAGTGCGCCAAGACCATTCAACAAGGGAAGAATAGTCTTTTCAACAAATGGTGCTGGGATAACTGGATATCCACGTGCAAAAGAATGAAGTTGGACCCTTACTTCAAATCATACACAAAAATTAACTCAAACTGGATCAAAGACCTAATTATAAGAGGTAAAACTATAAAACTTCTAGAAGAAAACACAGGAGTAAAACTTTGTGACTTTGAATTTGGCAGTGTGTTGTTAAACACAACAAAAGAAAAGATAAATTGAACTTCATCTAAATGAAAAACTTTTGTTCTTCAAAGGTCACTATCAAGAAAGTGAAAAGACAACCCACAGAATGGGAGAAAATATTTGCAAATCATGTATGTAATAAGGGACTTGTATCTAGAATATGTAAACAATAATAAGACATATATCACAATTTAAAAATGGGTAAAGTATATTAATTTAATTCAGCTCTTCAAGAAAAAAGTTTATAAAACAATTCAGTTATCAGTAATGGGCAAGGAGATATTACTACAGATCCTAGAGACATTTAAAACATAATAAAAAGATACTATGAGCAAACTTGAACATTTAAATGACATTGGCATATTCCTGGAACAACACAACTTACCAAAACTGACAGAAGAAGAAATAGAAAATCTGAATACTCTTGTATCTATTAAGATCTTAAAACTAGTGGATATAAATGTCTACTAAATTCATAATTGAAAATCTCCCCACTCACAAAGCAAAAAATTTAAAAACCTTTCGTCCTTTAAGGAAGAAATAATACTCTTTCAGAGAATAGAAAAAGAAGGATTACTTCCCAGTTAATTTATAACCTTGATATCAAAAACTTGAAATGGATATTAAAGGAAGGAAAATTATAGGCTAGTGCCACTCATTAGCATATTTGTAAAAATAAGTGTTAGCTAGCTGAAATAAGTATTAGCAAACTGTATTTAGAAATATATAAGAATAGTACATTATAAATAAGCTGGATTCTAGGAATACAAAGTTGGTTTAACTCTTAAAAATCAATGTATGTAATCATGTTAATAGGAGAACAATTTTATGGTCATCTCAATAGATGCAGAAAAGAAATTTGATAAAATTTAACATTCATTTATTATATATATACACAGCAAATATCATACTTGATGGTATGTTTAAAGCTTTCTGGTATCAGGGATTAGATAAGCATGCCTGCCATCACCACTTCTAATCAACATTGTACTGGGAATCATAGGCAGTACAGTAAGGAAAGAAAAGAAGAAATAGAAGATATAATGTTTGGAAAGGAAGAAATAAAATTGTGTTTAATTTATGGGTGACATGATTATATATGTGGAAAAAACAAAGTAATCTATAAACTATAGATTTCACGTATGCCTTTTTAAAATTAATTTTTATTGGGGTATGGTTGATTTACAATGTTGTGTTAATTTCCGCTGTACAGCAAAGTGAATCAGTTACACGTATGACTTTTGCAGTGTTGCTAGATACAAGGTCAGCATACAAATTCAGTTTCTGTACACCAATAACAAAAATTTGAAAATGAAGCAGATACCTTTTACAATGAACAAAAATCCATAAAACTTTTAGGAATACATCTAGTAAAAGATGTGTAAGACCTCCTCATAAAACTTATGGAACATTATTGAAAGAAAGAAAGAAGACCTAAATAAATGGAAACAACAGACCGTGTTCATGAATTGGAATACTAAATGTCATAAAGATGAGTTTCTTCTCCAAGTTGATCTGTATTGATTCAATTCAATCCTCTTGATGCTACAGGATATTAAGGAAGAGAAGGTCTTTTTAGTAAATGGTGCTGGGAAAAAATGACCCCTGCTTCACACCATCTACACAAATCTAGAATGTATTATAGGAGAAAACTTCTTGACTGGGGCTGGTAAAGGTTTCTTAAACAGGGCACATAAAGCACTCATCATAAAAGAAAAGATTGATAAATTGGACTACAGTAAAATTTTTTAAAATTTAAGGACTTCTATGCATTAAGAGTACAAAGGGAAACTGTAGAGCGGGAATATATAAACTGATGAAGAGGTTTTTTTTGCCACAGTATACAAAGAATTCTTACAAATTAACAATAAAAAAGACAGCCCAGTTGGAAAATGTGCAAGAGACATGACCAGGCATTTCACAAAAGAGGATATACAAATACCAAAAAAACTTATGTAAAAGTACCTTAACCCCATTAGTAATCGAGGAAATGCAGTTCAAATCACAACTTACCACCACATATCCACAGAATGATTAAAATTAAAAAGATGGCAGTACCATGTGCTGGCAAGGTAAGGAGCATTAGGAATGCTCAGACACCGTTGGTTGGACTGTAAATTTGTACAGTGACTTTGGAAAACTAGCATTAATCACTAAAATTGAAAAAATACATGCCCTTATGATCCAGCACTTCCAGGTTTATTACCCCTTTGAATTTTTACCTAGTTAACCAGAGAGAATAGGAACCACTGGGTAACTAAGCAGTAGAGGAAGGGAAGTTTCTTCTTTTAGAAGCATTCCAGGTGATAAATGAAAAAGGGAAGACGGGAGTAGAATACGACTATTTTGCAACCCCTTTGCTGGTACCATAAAGGCAATTTAATGGATGAATGTGACCCCACTTGTGAAGTAGTTTTGTGCTCCCCACACACCAAGAAAAAAAAAGAACTTGAATCTAATTAAGCTCTAAAGATCCAGCTACTAATAAACTACACTTTAGGAAAGTAATTAGCAAAATCCAGACTGTGGGAAATTCTAGTAGTACAAAAAAAACATGTTTCATTAAGAAATAAATGATAAGAAAAAATGGAGAGGGTACCTATAAACAAAAAGAAATTTAAAAGACATCAACTAATTGCAATGTATGTACCTTATCTAAATCCTGATTTAAACAAACTATAAAAAAAAATTTGACAAGTGTGAGACTATTGGAAAATTTGAGCCACGATTGTATGCCATTATTATTTGATGATAACAAATTACTTTTTAAAATGTATGGGGCTGTATTTTTAAAGGGGTTCTTATCTTTTAGTGATATATGGTGAAATATTTTATAGATTCAAAATAATATGGGGGAGTGGAAGTGGGTGTGGATATAGATGAAACAAGATTGGGAATGAATGGTTCATTGTTGAAGCACCATAATGGGTACTTGAGAATTTATTACATATTATGTCTATTTTTGACATAATATGTTTAAACTTTTACAATAAAAAGTTAAAAATAGGGGAAAAAAGAAAAAGGCCCACTTGATTAAAATTTTTTTTTCAAAAGAGACAATAGAAAGAGAAGAATTGATCAGACAAGAGAAGGGTTGGGTAGGGCAATTTCAAGAGCGACTCCTCAGCAGATGAGGGGAATGGGAGCCATTGCAGAAGTGAAGGGGTGGCCCTAAGATAGGATCACAGATAGTTATAACCTGAGGGAAGGCAGATACTCTTAAACTAAATTATAAGGTCCCTGAGGACCTTTAGACTGTGCCTAAATAAAAATTATAAAATGCTAAGTGAAAATATAAATGCTAATAAAAATTTTTTTTCTGGGAAAAATAGAATATAAAAGGGGTTAAAAAATCGGAAGGGAAGTAACCAATACTGAGCATTTACTGTATACTAGGCACCATGCTAAGCCTAACTGCTTTATCTCAATCTTCACTACAATTAGATGAGGTGTAGGCTTTATTATCCCATTTTACAAATAAGGAAATTGAGGCTTAGAGAGATTGTCACACAGATAGTAAATAGTGAAGTTGGGAGTCAAACTTGGGTATTTCTGCCTCTAAAAGCCATTTCCCTCCACTATACCATACTGCTTTAAATGCAATCTGAAGTTCAGAATGGAAAATTTAAATTATATTTTATGTAGAAGATATTTAAACTTCAAAATCATTCTCTCAAGTAAAGGAGAAAGAACTCTATTAAGAGAATTCACGCATTAACTTTAGGATGTTATCAGAAAATAATCCTCTTTTCTGACTGCATTAAAATGACTTTTTGTGGGGTTGAGGATTTAAAAATGAACAATGATAAATAGATATAATTACATACTGATTAAGATTTTTAATTAATATTTTTACATACATTTTCTGTGTTTTTTCTCCCAGATATTGAAATACTTCACGAGACATTTATTAACCTTGAATCAAAGGATCATAGGTTACAGAAAGTTAAAGTGATTCTGCTGCTACCTCGTTGTTCAGGACTGGGTGTTAGCAATCCAGTAGAATTTATTTTAAATGAGCATGAAGGTACTTGCTTTAACTTTTAATTTCTAAATTATTGAAATCTTAATATTTTTAAAATGAAATTATTTAAAATCATTAAGATGACATATCAGATACATCTGATTAATGAATAACTACCATATATAGAGCACTTAATATGGATAAAGTATTTTACATCCATTACCTCATTTAATCTTTATTATACCAGTTCTGTGAGATACGGGCAAGGGGAATATTCAAAATGTTCAATAGTTAGAGTGATGTAGGCAATCAGAACAGATGCTAGTATGCTGTTCTGGCATATACCAGAGCTCAGAATATAGGCATTAACATTTATCAGCATTTTATAGATAAAAAAACTGAAACTCAAAAAGATTCATTCATTTTTATATAGTCACATAACTACTTGGTAAGAGAGCTAGGATTCAGATTTAGATCTGCCTGACTCTAGAGTCTGTGCTCCAAGATGATCCCAATTAAATCATGATCAGACTATTTCAAACTCAAGACTTCTTTAACCCCCAGTATGTATGTTTTATGATACGAATATCTCAGATTAAATATTCTGAGAATATTTTATTTGCTTCTTTAATAAATTAAGAAATATTATTTAACATTAACATTTATTGAGCACTTATGTATAAGGCACTGAACTAAATCCTTTGCTTGGATTACTTCATCAAATCCTCACAAGAACTCAATGAATTGGTTACTCATTATTTCTCTTTTATAAATACGGAATCTGAGGCTCAAGAGATGTTGAAGCCACTCAGAGTCTTTTGACTGGTAAGTGTCAGAGCCTGGATTCAAACACTACTGCTCTGACTCTGGCCCTTTGAATCATGCTGTTAATCACAGTATGTTAACTGAAATTGCTTCTTACTCTAATCCCTTGTTTATAGTGAAAGGCATAGGTATGGTTAACTAGAATATTAGACAAAGAGGACATTCCACCAACATTCAGAATATGTTGAGTAACTGTTTTCTATTTCTAGCAAGGACAGAATCTAAAATGAAGAAAAAGTAATTGAGGGAAAGAAACTAATATTTATGGAGCGCAACTATGCCCCAGTCAATATCTAGGAAGTGTTCATGCATTATAACTTAATATTCACAATAACTTTGTGAGGATAGTGTTATTTAATTATCTCTGTTTTATAAAGGGGAAAAAACCCCCCAAGATTGAGACAAATTTAGCAAGTTGCCTGAGATCATGTAGCTAGATTCAAAGCTGGGATTCAAATTCAGATTAGTTAGCACATTCCACTATGCTACACTATAGAAAGAATTCCACTATACCAGTGGTCCCCAACCTTTTTGGCACCAGGGACTGGTTTCGTGGAAGACGGTTTTTCCACAGACCAGTGGTTGGGGTGGGGGTGGGGGTATGGTTTTGGGATGATTCAAGCACACTACATTTTTTGTGCGCTTTTTTTTTTTTTTAATTTAAAAAATTTATTTATTTATTTTTGACTGTGTTGGGTCTTCGTTGCTGCTCACGGGCTGTCTCTAGTTGTGGCGAGCGGAGGCTACTCTTCGTTGTGGTGTGCGGGCTTCTCATTGCGGTGGCTTCTCTTGTTGTGGAGCATGGGTTCAAGGCATGCAGGCTTCAGTAGTTGTGGCACACAGACTCAGTAGTTTTGACTCGTGGGCTCTAGAGTGCAGGTTCAGTAGTTGTGACGCACGGGTTTAGTTGCTCCGCTTAGTTGCTTAGTTGCTCTTAGTTGCTTAGATCTTCCTGGACCAGGGCTCGAACCCGTGTCCCCTGCATTGCCAGGCTGATTCTTAACCACTCCGCCACCAGGGAAGTCCAGCAGGCGATTCTTAACCACTGCGCCACTAGGGAAGTCCTTATTGTACACTTTATTTCTATTATTGTTACGTTGTAATATATAATGAAATAATTATACAACTCACCATAATGCAGAATCAGTGGGAGCCCTGAGATTGTTTTCCTGCAACTAGATGTTCCCATCTGGGAGTGATGGGAGACAGTGACACCCGAAGTGTGTTGCTTATGTCCAGTCTACTCCGTAAGATGCAGCTTAATTGTCACTTGCCACTCACTGATAGGGATTTTTTTTTTTAACATCTTTATTGGAGTATAATTGCTTTACAATGCTGTGTTAGTTTCTGCTTTATAGCAAAGTGAATCAGTTATACATATGTTCCCATATCTCTTCCCTCTTGCGTCTCCCTCCCTCCCACCCTCCCTATCCCACCCCTCTAAGTGGTCACAAAGCACCGAGCTGATCTCCCTGTGCTATGCGGCTGCTTCCCACTAGCTATTTTACGTTTGGTAGTGTATATATGTCCATGCCACTCTCTCACTTTGTCACAGCTTACGCTTCCCTCTCCCCATATCCTCAAGTCCATTCTCTAGTAGGTCTGCGTCTTTATTCCTGTCTTACCTCTAGGTTCTTCGTGACCTTTTTTTTTTTTCTTAGATTCCATATATATGTGTTAGCATATGGTATTTGTTTTTCTCTTACTTTACTCTGTATGACAAACTCTAAGTCCATCCACCTCACTACAAATAACTCAATTTCGTTTCTTTTTATGGCTGAGTAATATTCCATTGTATGTATGTGCCACATCTTCTTTATCCATTCATCTGTTGATGGACACTTAGGTTGCTTCCATGTCCTGGCTGTTGTAAATAGAGCTGCAATGAACATTTTGGTACATGACTCTTTTTGAATTATGGTTTTCTCAGGGTATATGCCCAGTAGAGGGATTGCTGGGTCGTATGGTAGTTCTGTTTTTAGTTTTTTAAGGAACCTCCATACTGTTCTCCATAGTGGCTGTATCAATTTACATTCCCACCAACAGTGCAAGAGGGTTCCCTTTTCTCCACACCCTCTCCAGCATTTATTGTTTGTAGATTTTTTGATGATGGCCATTCTGACCTGTGTGAGATGATATCGCATTCGTAGTTTTGATTTGCATTTCTCTAATGATTAATGATGTTGAGCATTCTTTCATGTGTTTGTTGACAATCTGTATAACTGATAGGGATTTGATATGAGTCTGCAAGCAATTGATTTATTATGGTCTCTGTGCAGTCAAACCTCTCTGCTAATGATAATCTGTATTTGTAGCCGCTCCCCAGCGCTAGCATCACTGCCTCAGCTCCACCTCAGATCATCAGGCATTAGATTCTCTTAAGGACCACGCAACCTAGATCCCTCGCATGTGCAGTTCACAGTAGGGTTCACATTCCTATGAGAATCTAATGCTGCCCCTGATCTGACGGGAGGTGGAGCTCAGGTCGTAATGTGAGTGACGGGGAGAGGCTGTAAATACAGATGAAGCTTCACTCTCTCGCCCACTGCTCACCTCCTGCTGTGTGGCCCAGTTCCTAACAGGCCACGGACCACTAGTGGTCCGTGGCTGGGGGTTGGGGACCCCTGCAGTATACCACAAAATTTTTAACTGGGCTTATACTGAACTATGTGGAATTCTGTCTTGCTACAGAAAATTTCTTTCCAAGACTAACCAACTCAGATGGGAGTATGGTGGACTGAGAAAATTCCCATACTAACTTTGGGAAATGATCAAAGAAGAATTAGATTTTGTAAGAAGAGGGGACGAAATAGCTGCAGCTACAATAAGCATTCCAGTTAAGAGAACTAGAACTTAGAACTACTGTGAGACTCTGGCCTTATCCTGGGTCATCTTGAAGTGGGAATGCAGAACAAAATAAACCATAGGTAAAAATCATTTAGAGGCTGGGGTGTGGGTGAAGCACAAAGGTAACTACAAATGACAAAAAGAGGGAAAGTAAAAAGTTTCCTAGATATTGATAATATTTTGAAATCCTTGAAGAGGTGACCGGATAAGCCAAGAAGTGGTCTTTGGCAAACCTGGAAAAAAGGAGGGTTTTGAAGGAGACTGTACTTTGATGAGGTAATAGCCAGAGCAAATAAGGAACTGCTGACCTAGTGATTATGGTAGAAATATTAGTCATAAATTTAGTGGGGATGAATCCAAAAGACTTAGATTCATGAGAAATCATGAATTAGTTTGAAAAACAATTTAACATTGGAAAACATTACAACCAATTTTAGAATGTTTATCATAAACATTATCATATTTGAGGAATGTATGAAGTCGATCTCTGCTAACAACTTAGAATTATTTTAAAATGGGGTGAAAAGGTAAGCTGATATGGTTTTAGAGTATAATAATGGGTAAATAGTCCTTTAAAAAGTGATGAAAGAGAAAAATGTAAAGTGTAAAACTAAATTGGGAAGAAATGGAGTTTAATTAACCTTTAGTGATATTACTGGAGTGGGGAATAGCCAAATATATGGTATAAATAGTTGGCTTTCGTACTGCAGGGAGTTACTGAGAGGCAAAATAAAACAGGGATTAGCAGGTTGGTCAGATTGCCAAGCTAGAACCTGGCTCTCAACTAGTAGCCATGTGACCTTAGACAAGTTGTTTAATGTATGCTTGAACAGTTTTTTCAATGTTAAAATGAATAATAATGCTTCAAGGGTTGTTGAATAAAATAATCTATTTAGAGTAGTATTCAATATATCTTAGTTAATATTATCAAGAAATATGTTAAAAATAGTTTCAGGGGCTTCCCTGGTGGTGCAGTGGTTGAGAGTCCACCTGCTGATGCAGGGGACACGGGTTCGTGCCCCGGTCCGGGAAAATCCCACATGCCGCGGAGCGGCTAGGCCTGTGAGCCATGGCCGCTGAGCCTGCGCGTCCAGAGCCTGTGCTCTGCAATGGGAGAGGCCACAACAGAGAGAGGCCTGCGCACCAAAAAAAAAAAAAAAAAATATATATATATATATATATATATAATTTCAGAAATTTAAAGAATTACTATAAGAGTTTCTTTCTTTCTTTTTATTAATTTTATTTATTTATTTTTGGCTGCATTGGGTCTTCGTTGCTGCACATGGGCCCTCTAGTTTTTTCTTCCAAAATTTCTTTCAGTAAGTTAATGTTTTTAACTGTATCCTTTTGTGTTCTTTCTTACTCAGATCTGACTATAGCCCATCAGTTTCTACCTTGGAAAATAAATCTTTTTTTCCTCTATTAGTACCCAGACTGACTGTATTTTGTTTTTTATACCTAAATGACTTATTTTGGCTGGTTGGGTGACTATATCATAAGAACTTGGAGAAAAAAGGAAAAATAATATTAAAACTAAGCAAAATTACCTTTATCAATTCAGTTTTTAAGTCAGTATTTTATAATACTGCCTATTTATTTATTTTAAAAAATTTATTTATTTTTATTCATTTATTTTTGGTTGGGTCTTCGTTGCTGTGTGCGGGCTTTCTCCAGTTGCAACGAGCGGGGGCTGTTCTTCATTGTGATGCATGGGCTTCTCATTGCAGTGGCTTCTCTTGTTGCGGAGCATGGGCTCTAGGCACGTAGGCTTCAGTAGTTGTGGCATGCAGGCTTCAGTAGTTGTGGCTCACGGGTTCCAGGGCACAGGCTCAGTAGTTGTGGTGCATGGGCTTAGTTGCTCCGTGGCATGTGGGATCTTCCCAGACCAGGGCTTGAACCCGTGTCCCCCGCATTGGCAGGTGGATTCTTAACCACTGCGCCACCAGGCAAGTCCCCTGCCTATTTATTTTTGATAAATATTTTCCATGAAAACTGTCATTAATAGGGAAAATGATTAAAATATTAAATAATGTGATAATAGCAATATATGAAAAACATCTAATAGTGATATATTTAAAAGCATTTATTTCCTTTTAGATACAGGTTTACTTAAAGATTTCTCTCAAGGAGGCCCATCAGAAGATAAACTTCATGTTCTTGCTCAACAGCAATATGAACAGCTAACACATGCAATGAAATGTAAGTTTGTTATCAGTGTAATATGAAAATATGTTGTAAATCTTAGAAACATTAATACTTCATTTATCTGTTATATTCAGGCAATCATGTGTGAACCATAAGTGAATTTTTCAGAACACTCAGTTCCTTCAAATAACAAAATATTTATTTTTACCAATTTAGTTCTCAAAAATATATGCTTTACTATCATTTTAAACATAGGTTAGCAAGAATAATTTACAGTTTTCTTTAATGCTGAAGTAAAATAATTACATACATCCATTGTTGTACAGTTTCATCTTCTTTATTTCTTTTCTTTGGCTTCTTACTCGATGTAATTTTTCCGTTGTCATTGTGCCTGCCCCTAACTCTTCTATAATCCCAATTTTAATCAAACTCTTACTTCTCTTAGTACTAAAAAGAGAACAGAGAGATGCAATTACAGATAAAGGCTAGATCTCTTTAAGTCTGAGTAACAAGGCTCTTTAAGTATTTATATTATTGCTTCAATCACTGCATTTAGATTTTGAGTACCATTTAGATGTTGAGTACCAATGCCCTTCCACACATAGATATGGAAATCTAGAAGTCTCTGAGAAATTATATAAACTTTAATTAATTCAGTGCATGTTTATCAAATGCCTACTCTGGGTCAGATATTAAGCTGGTTGTTAGGGATATGAGTGTGGATAAATCCTGACCTCCAAAGGCTCAAAGGTAAGTATAGGGTATAGATGATTTAATATATGAAGATATAACATATGTGAAGTAGAAATAAGGCAAAATAGAAAACACAGAGGAGTTCTGCCCCTTTAATTGATGTTATTAAAAATATTTATTTGAATATGATAGTATGTATATGATCTATGAAATGAGTTGATTGGAAGATGAGGAAGTTGATAAATAATGCATTTTTAAACTTCTTTCTCTGATTACTCTATTTAAAATTGCAGGATAATCTTTTGAAACTAACTGTCCTCTGTATCTGCTTTGATTTGCTCTATAGCATTTGTCACTTTCTAATGCTATATGTGTGTGTGTGTGTGTGTGTGTGTGTGTGTGTGTGTGTGTGTGTATTTTTACTTGGGCTGTGCCACTGCTTGGCTTGCAGGATCTTAGTTCCCCAACCAGGGATCGAACCTGGGCCTCTGGCAATGAGAGCGCTGAGTCCTAACCACTGGACCACCAGGGAGTTCCCTAATTTTCTTATTTATTTGTCTTATGTCAATGAAACATAGAAAATAAGCTCCCTGGGGCAGGGATTTTTGTGTGTGTATATTGAATGGTGAGAACACTGCCTAGCACATAGTAGGTGCTCAGTAAGTGTGAATAAGTGAGTGAGTTGCAGGTAATAAGATTACCTCATTTTACAGTTGAAGAATTGGAGAGTTAAGTAATTTTCCCAGGTTCATACAGCAGTAAGTTACAGAATTGGGATTCACATCTAAGTCTGTCTGTTTCTAGAGTCCTTTTAACTAGTTACGTGATATGGCTTGTGGAAGAATAGCTGGGAGTGTCAAGCTTATGGTAATCTGCAGTATTTATTTGTTTGTGTTTGTAATTAGGTTGGTCACATTTGATTAGATTTCCATACAATCCAGTTAGATTTATTTTATTTATTGGCCACAGCCTACATTCCTAATACATGCTTTAAAGGGGAGCCATGCAAGCATCTATAGAAATAATTCCTATCAAAACCATGTGGTATTAGTACAGACAGACGTTTGAAAACATAACAGATTTGTTTAGGATTGTTACTGGGGTCATTATATTAATTCCATCTTCTTTAAATGTAGTTACTAGAGCTCAAGCAGTTGTTTACTGCACATATTCAGTTTATCCAGAAGAAAATGAAGCTGTTGTTAAGAAAGCACTGGAATTTCAAGACCACGGGACTAAAGTACAATCTTATAGGTAAGAAAGGAAGGATTCTTCTAAACACCTCAACCAAATATTTTTGAAAGTGAAAAATTTTGATTTTCTGAGTTAGAAGTAGAAGACGTTTCAGTTCCTTTTTATTAGACTTTAATATGACCAAATAGCCTAACTTCTTACAACTTGAAAGTAGATTCTGTAAAGCCTTTACAATGGCTTGGCATGTGCATTCTCTTGTACACTAAAAGATTCTTGTTTTTGTTGTTATTGTTAAATAAGGCTAAAGGCATTTGGGCTTAGACTTGATTAATTTCTGGATAAATTGAGTATAAACTTTATACCCTGAGTTTTAGATACATCTGTGCTTCAGTAGAAGAAAAGTAAGAGTATAAAATAACCTTAGAAAATAGAGAGAAAATTGGATGTTTATTATCTGAAAACATGTTTCTTAGACCCATTTAGCCTTTGGTACCCACAAGGACTAAGATAAGAATAGCTTGAATAGCCATAGTAGCTTCTGGGTAAAATGCTATAATAAACTAGGGGCAGAGAAGAAAAACAGTAATACTCCATCCAAACTCTGGACGTCAAGATAAGGAGTATATTTAAGATTACTATATGATACCAATTAGTTCTTCAAGACTGTGACAGTTAATAAGGTATTTTAAAATGTCTCCTATTTTTTACTTATTTCTCCTGTTCTGAACTTTTACTGTAATTCTTATAGTAGCATCTTAATATGTATATGGTTTGCTCTCTCCTTTTAATTAGATATTTTTCCTTTGCCAGTTCACAGGTGGACATGTTTGTAACCACATCCGTATTTCCCTTCTTACTTTGCTTCCTTATTTAGTAATTCTTGTTGGTAGCTAACAGCCAACCTTTTTTCTGCCAGCTTCTCAACACAGCATTAACTAAATCTCCATCTAGTGGCAAAGAGAATTATTTCAGGTATATGACCAAAATCGTTAGTGTGGATGACTCTTGATTTGTCTGTCAGGGATAAGGTTCTAAGAATGTAATATGGCAAAAATAGAGGAACATCTCCACACCCTCTCTAGCATTTATTATGTGTAGACTTTTTGATGACAGCCATTCTGACCAGTGTGAGGTGATGCTTCATTGTGGTTTTGATTTGCATTTCTGTAATAATTAGCAACATTGATCGTCTTTTCATGTGCCTACTGGCCATCTGTATGTCTTCTTTGGAGAAATGTCTATTAAGGTCTTCTGCCAGTTTTTCGATTGGGTTGTTTGTTTTTTTGTTGTTAAATTGTATGAGCTGTTTGTATATTTTGGAAATTAAGTCCTTGTTGGTTGCATTGTTTGCAAATATTTTCTCCCATTCCTTAGGTTGTCTTTTCATTTTTTTAATGGTTTCCCTTGCTGTGCAAAAGCTTGTAAGTTTGATTAGGTCCCATTTGTTTATTTTTGTTTTTATTTCTATTGCGTTGGGAGGCTGATCTAAGAAAATACTGCTACAGTTTATGTCAGAGAATGTTTTGCCTATGTTCTCTTCTCGGAGTTTTATGGTGTCAAATCTTATATTTAGGTCTTTAAACCATTTTGAGTTTATTTTTGTGTGTGGTGTGAGAGAGTGTTGTAATTTCATTGATTTACAGGTAGCTGTCCAGCTTTCCCAATACCACATCAACAAGTCTTCAAGAGAGACTGTCTTTTCTCCATTGTATATTCTTGCCTGTTTTGTCAAAGATTAATTGATCATAGGTGTGTGGGTTTATTTCTGGGCTGTCTGTTCTGTTCCACTGAACTGTATGTCTGTTTTTGTGCCAACAGCACACTGTTTTGATTACTGTAACTTTGTAGTATAGTCTGAAGTCTGGAGGGTTATGCCTCCTGCTTTGTTCTTTTCCGTCAGGATTGCTTTGATAATTCTGGGCCTTTTGTTGTTCCATATACATTTTAGGATTATTTGTTTTAGTTCTGTGAAAAATGTCATGGGTATTTTGATAAGGATTGCATTAAATCTGTAGATTGCTTTGAGTAGTATGGCCATTTTAAAAATATTAATTCTTCCAATCCAAGTGCATGGGATATCTTTTCATTTCTTTGAATCATCTTCAGTTTCTTTATCAAAGTTTTATAGTCTTCAGCATATAGGTGTTTACTGCCTTGATTGAGTTTATTCCTAGGTATTTTTTTTGACGCAGTTTTAAACAGGATTTTTTTTTTACTTTCTGAAATTTCATTATTAGTGTAAAGAAATGCAACAAATTTCTGTATATTAATATTGTATCCTACTACCTTGCTGAATTCATTTATTCTCATAGTTTTTGTGTGGAGACTTTAGGGTTCTCTATATAGAGTATCATGTCATCTCCAAATAGTGACAATTTTACCTCTTCCCTTCCAATTTGGATACCTTTCATTTCTTTTTCTTATCTGATTGTTGGGGCTAGGACTTCCAATACTATGTTGAGTAGAAGTGGTGAAACTGGGCATCCTTGTCTTGTTCCTAAATTTAGTGGGAAGGCGTTCAGCTTTTCACTGTTCAGTATTATGTTGGCTGTGGGTTTGTCATAAATGGCTTTTATTATGTTGAAATATGTTCCCCCTATACCCACTTCTGTGACAGTTTTTATCAAGAATGGGTGTTGAATTTTGTCAAATGCTTTTTCTGTCTATTGAGATGATCATGTGGTTTTTGTCTTTCCTTTTGTTAACGTGGTGTATCATCACATTGACTGATTGCGTATATTGAGCTCTCCTTGCTACCCTGGAATGATTACAGCTTGATCATGGTGTATTATCCTTTTCACATATTGTTGGATTTTGTTTGCTAATATCTTGTTTTGAAGATTTTTGCATCTATATTCATCAAAGATATTGGCCTGTGGTTTTCATTTTTTGTAGTGTTTTTGTCTGGTTTTGGTATCAGGGTGATGGTGGCTTCAGAATGAATTTGGGAGTGTTCCCTCTTCAATTTTTTGGAATAGTTTGAGACGGGTAGGTATAAGTTCTTTGAAAATACTAACAGATACAAAGGGAGAAACTGACAATAATACAATAATAGTAGACCTTAACACCCCATTGACATCAATGGACAGATCATCCAGACAAAAAATCAGTAAGGCAACAGAGGTTCTAAATGACACAGTAGATCAGTAGGACTTAATTGATATCTACAGAACACTACTTCCAAAAAAGCCAGAATACAGATTCTTTTCAAGGGCACATGGAATGTTCTCTAGGATAGACCACATACTAGGTCATAAAAAAAAAACCTCAACAAATTTAAAAGGATAGAAATTATTTGAAACATCTTATCTGACCACAACAGTATGAAACCAGAAATCAACCACAGAAAGAAAAACAGAAAAAGAATGAACGCATGGAGACTAAACAACATGCTACTAAGAAACCAATGGATCAACAATGAAATCAAAGAAGAAATGAGGAAATGCCTCAAGACAAATGAAAATGAAAACACAACCTTACAAAATCTATGGGATACCCACCCACTGGTGGTTGAAGCTGGGTCCTAGGGTTAGTGCTGGACTACTGACATCAAGAGCCAGGTCCTGGAGTCTGGTTGCAGGGCCCAGACATCCCAGAGCTGATATAACATGGCTGGGGGTGAGGTAGGGAAGGGGAGCAGATCTTGACACAGTTGGGTACAGAGTCTGGGGTGTCCTGAAGCTTGTGTTGGCCTGTTAATGGGCAGGGCCAGGGCCCAGCTGGTCCCAGGGCAGGGTCTGGCCTGGTCTGGACAGAATAGGTTTGCAGGCTGTGGGATTGTGGTTTTCTTGCATCTGGTGTCTGCCCACGTTGGGTCAGCCTGGTCCAGAGGCTAGAGGAGCCAAGGCCCAGAGGATTCTGGGGCTGGTGCTTGCTCACTGGTGGGTGGAAATGGGCCCTGGGCCCTCTATTGGGCACGGCTGTGTCCAGAGGCAGATGTGGAGGTCTTTAGGCAGTCTGTCTGCTGATGGGTGGTGCTGTATCCCACCCAATTAGTTGCTTGGCCTGATTTGTCCCAGCACTGGCACCTAAAGGCTGTTGGGTTGTGTGGGGCCAGGTCTTGGTGCTAATGAGCTAGAGGGAGGATTCCACAATGGTGTTTGCCAGTATCAGCATCCATGTGGTAGAAGGAACTCCCAAGAATGGCTGCCACCAGTGTCTGTGCACCCAGGGTGAGTGCAGCCGCCCCTCACCTCTCTGAGAGACTCTGCAAGACCAGCAGATAGGCCTGGCCCAGGCTCCTATCAAATTACTGCTTTTTCCCTGGGTTCCAGAACATGTGAGATTTTGTGTGTGCCATTTAAGAGTGAAGTCTCTATTTCTCCCAGTCCTGTGGGATTCCCGAAATTAAGTCCCACTGGCCTTCAAGGCCAAATGCCCTTGTCTTCCTGGTGCCAGACCCCCAGGCTGGGGAGCCTGACGTGGCGCTCATAACTGTCACTCTTGTGGGAGAACCTCTGCGATATAATTATTCTCCAATTTGTGGGTCACCCACCTGGGGTTATGGAACTTAGCTCTATTTCAAGTCTTCCCCTCCTACCTGTCTTGGGGCTCTTTCTTTATGTCTTTAGTTGTAGAAGATCTTTTCTGGTAGGTACCAGACTTTTTCATCAATGGTTGTTCTGCAAATAGTTGTGATTTTGGTGTGCTTGTGAGAAGAAGTGAGCTCAGAGTCTTACTACTCTGCCATCTTGGCCAGTCTTGGTCACTGTGGTTTTGATTTGAATTTTCCTGGGAACTAATGATGTTGAGCTTCTTTTCATGTGCTTATTAACTATTTATATATCTTCTTTGGACAATGTCTTCAGGTTCTTTGCCCATTTAAAGACTGTATTATGGGACTTCCCTTGTGGCGCACTGGTTAAGAATCCGCCTGCCAAGGCAGGGGACACGAGTTCGAGCCCTGGTCCAGGAAGATCCCACATGCTGTGGAGCAACTAAGCCCATGTGCCACAACTACTGAGCCTGTGCTCTAGAGCCCGCGAGCCACAACTACTGAGCCCACATGCCACAGCTGCTGAAGCCCTCGTGCCTAGAGCCCATGCTCCACAATAAGAGAA